TAAACCTAAAATATCAAACGCAGTGATAATGAATCTAGGATAAGTTTCACCACAAATCCAATCACAGAAGAAAGAACTCGGCGTTGGATCCTTCCCAGAAACATGAGTACCCATTGAGACAGAGAGAGAGAGAGTGTAATTGGAATTGGGATTTGGAAACCAAGTCGAAAATATCAAGCACGGTTTTGATTAAAATCTGATAAAGTATCAGGAGGATAAACTTCACTACAATCTGATTTAAAAAGAGTAATTTAGAGTTTGATCCTTACCAAAACTACAAGAGTGGCTAGAAAGCAAGAGAGAGATGGAGTGCAATAGCGAGACGTAGAGGCCTGAAACAAATCAAATTCAGAGATTTGGAAAATAAAATTGAAATAGAATAATCCGATCGCAGAAGAGAAGTCGATAAATTGATCCTTCGGAGAAATATAGCAGATGGAGAGGGGTGACTCAAGTTCTTCGTAGCTTCAAATTTCAAGAAAACTTAGGGTTATTTGCATTAGAGCATCTCCAACTTGACTCAAATTTAGATTTAAATTTAAATTTGAGTTAAAAAATCTAAAATACTTGCTCTAACTCTTACTCAAACATATACCAAATTAAGGGAGACTCTTTTTTTTTACTCAAATTAAGAGAGACTCAAATCTTTATCTAAATTTTTAATTGTGAAATTTCATCCTCTTTTAAAGATTCAATGGTCATCTTTACTCTCATTTAATTTTGGGTTTGCCTTCATTTGAATTTAAGTTTCTTCTTTTTTAAATTTGAGTTTGTCCATTGGAACCCTTTGTATCAAATCAAGCTTTTTATTCAAATACTAACTTAAATTGAGTAAAAATTTGAGTTATAGTTGGAGATGCTCAAGTCTCCAAAGTATGACATTTATTTTATTTTGATATTTAATATTTTAATTATATTATTTTGATCTCTAAAATATTGAATATGTTTCTATGTGATCCCTCAAATAGACAACGTGTAGATTGTTAACAATTTTTTTATTATAAACTTATTACATGATATAAAAAGAAGAAAAAAAAAATAATTTGGTTTGACCTATAATAAAAAAGAAAAAAATATCTTAGAATTAGACTCTTAATTTGGTATTGTTTGATAAAAGTAAAAATTGAACACTAAAAACTAATGTTCCGTTTGATATGATGGAAAAATAGAAGGATGAAAAATTTGATGAATAAATAAAACATCATATTTGGTAAGGAAGGAAAATATGAAAAATGAAAAAGTGGATGGATTAACTTTATTTTCAACTCACTAAAATCAATCCCTTCAAAGTCGGAAGGATAGTGAATAGAAAGTTAATTATTTGTATTGAGATGTATTTTATTTTTTTATATATTATGTATATATTAATTTCATATAAAAATACAATGACAAAATATGTGTGTATATATATATATATAAATTTTTTAAAAAATTAAAAAAAATTAAATTAAAAAAATATTTTTTCATCTTATCTGGGGGTGAAGAATTTCAACTCAACACGGCGACAAGACTCGAACTCAACACGAATTTTATGACACGTACTTAATTATAACTCGACGTGAACTTGAAAATGACCTGACACGCGAACAAGAAATATAAAAAGCTCATAATTTTATAACTCAACACGAATCTGACACGACGCGACTCAATTGTCACCCCTAATATTAGACAAAAAAAAATTTAAAAAAAATTGATATTTTTATTTTTCATCCATCCAACCAAATACAAATGAAAGAAAATGTATCATTCCTACTTTCTATCCTTAAATGATAGAAAATGTATATGTCCTACTTTTCATCCTTCCTACCAAACGGAGCATAAATATTGAATTTTAAGTGCTGAATGTTAAATTTTTTAATTCGTAGATTATTTTGTATCAACTAAAATTTAAGTATTGCATTGAATCAAACTGTTTGACAAATATTATAAGCTCAAATTTGAAAATTATTATTATTTTAATTTTACTCTTCGTTTTAATCATCTCTCTACAATAACTTTATTCCTATACCCACCATCACAATAGTGGTGACGATGGTAACGACGGAGGCAACACAATGGTGGTGACGACGATGGTGGAAATAGTAGTAGTGGTGGTGGCTGTGGCAGTGGCGATGGTAGCGACAGCTGAGATTACAACAAATTTTCATTTTAGCTCCAAATTTATTAAAATATTAAGGATTAAAATGAAATAAATTTTATATATTAGGGACCTCCAATGCCATTAATTCTAAAACTTTCTATCATGCTTTTTTTGTTTTAAATCCATGAATTGGACTCTTAATTTGTCTAATTACATTTAAAACCCTGGAAGAACCTCACTGTTTTGTTACTCTTCAACTTTGGCCTTCCGTCTAATTAAGCAATTGACAATTGTCTCTCTCGTGACATTGTATTGTGGCCCATTATTAATTTGGTATCTAATAAATTACAGTTTTCGAATTGAAAGTTAACTCTAGTTAAAATCGAAAGTCACAATATATTAAATTAAATTTCTAATTAGGTCCCTATNTTTTTCATCTTATCTGGGGGTGAAGAATTTCAACTCAACACGGCGACAAGACTCGAACTCAACACGAATTTTATGACACGTACTTAATTATAACTCGACGTGAACTTGAAAATGACCTGACACGCGAACAAGAAATATAAAAAGCTCATAATTTTATAACTCAACACGAATCTGACACGACGCGACTCAATTGTCACCCCTAATATTAGACAAAAAAAAATTTAAAAAAAATTGATATTTTTATTTTTCATCCATCCAACCAAATACAAATGAAAGAAAATGTATCATTCCTACTTTCTATCCTTAAATGATAGAAAATGTATATGTCCTACTTTTCATCCTTCCTACCAAACGGAGCATAAATATTGAATTTTAAGTGCTGAATGTTAAATTTTTTAATTCGTAGATTATTTTGTATCAACTAAAATTTAAGTATTGCATTGAATCAAACTGTTTGACAAATATTATAAGCTCAAATTTGAAAATTATTATTATTTTAATTTTACTCTTCGTTTTAATCATCTCTCTACAATAACTTTATTCCTATACCCACCATCACAATAGTGGTGACGATGGTAACGACGGAGGCAACACAATGGTGGTGACGACGATGGTGGAAATAGTAGTAGTGGTGGTGGCTGTGGCAGTGGCGATGGTAGCGACAGCTGAGATTACAACAAATTTTCATTTTAGCTCCAAATTTATTAAAATATTAAGGATTAAAATGAAATAAATTTTATATATTAGGGACCTCCAATGCCATTAATTCTAAAACTTTCTATCATGCTTTTTTTGTTTTAAATCCATGAATTGGACTCTTAATTTGTCTAATTACATTTAAAACCCTGGAAGAACCTCACTGTTTTGTTACTCTTCAACTTTGGCCTTCCGTCTAATTAAGCAATTGACAATTGTCTCTCTCGTGACATTGTATTGTGGCCCATTATTAATTTGGTATCTAATAAATTACAGTTTTCGAATTGAAAGTTAACTCTAGTTAAAATCGAAAGTCACAATATATTAAATTAAATTTCTAATTAGGTCCCTATAGTATTGTTCTTAATCTTTTTAGGGAAAGCCTGATTCCAATATACTGAAGGATCTAATTATAGTACAAAAAATAATAATATTTTATAAGATTAAACATTGTACTAAAACTTAGCTTTTGATATTATAACTTTATTTTTTGTTAAATAAAAATGCGACACATATAAATATATTTTTTAATTAAATTCACTTTACTTCATTATTCTTACGATCAATGGCTACGGATTCAAAAAGAAAAAGTTGGGATCAGAATTTGAATTTGATAATAATTTTGCTTTAAATTTATGTAATACAAGTTATTATTTTCTATCGCTATTAAATTAAATTTTATTGGTTGAAATTGTGATATGGAAACTTTTCAAATGATAATGGGTGTATAACAGATTGTTGTTGTTTACGTGAAAAAAAATATATATATACTTTTCTGTGGTTAATTTAATGACAAATGAGAGTGTATTTTTTTCAAGTGACAGGCAATAATTAAAATATGTTTGTATGATGTTTATGTATGAGCATGATGTATATGGATCTAAGGATAGTATGTGGTTAAGGTAGTGAATTTGGTTGTGCAAAGAGCCTATTAGCTAATATAGCCCACGGCAGATATCGTGTGGCCTTATTGATGTTGTTATGCCTTAGTGACAAATTGTGCCTAGATGGCAGATGAAAAGTTTTAATGGCGATTGTGTGCTCTTAGTAGTATTATTATGTCTTAGTGGCAGATTATGCCTTAATGGAAAAAGTAGCTTTTGTGACGGATTATGCTAAAAACAGATAATAGCTTTAATGGCTCAGATATGACCTTAGTGACAAAATTATGTGATTGATGTATATGATGGCCTACAGAGGCATATGTATATAATTTATATACATGTGTGAATACCATGTATGAAGGCTCGTGAACAGATATATATATATATGAGAAAAACATCGATTATAGTTTACGAGTGTTTATTTGTTAAATGTGAATAGGATGATGTGAGAATTGAGAAATATAGTTTTGGTGGTTAATGTGTTGCCTTAGTGGCAAGATGATATTGCTTAAATGACAAATACAAAATTATATGATTTCTATAGTGTAAATACAATTCTTACGGTAAGAATTTTTTATGTGATGTTATGAATGAGCCAGGGCACCATGTCATTTAAAAAAATGTGTTATGTTTACCTATTAATGAACATCTAATTATCTGAATTATGAATGTGTTTATGTGTATGCTAGTGTGCATATGAGATAAGATAGAGCACCTTAGCTTAAAGTGGGAAAACAAAAGATAAAGACGGTGATGTTATGATAAAATTCGATTATGGAAGAATAATTAGTGTGTAATTGTGCTATGTTATATGGTACATATAAACCCTTGAAGAACCAAATGCCTTAGAAGTAGCCATAAACCGCCAATGGCGCATCACTCTAGGTGACCTTGAGGCATGTTTAGCTGCAATGTGTTTGGGCACTGGTGGCTCATCCATTCAGTTGCCTCCCAAGGTACCTGTAGCACCCCCTTCAAGGACCACCTCCTCAAGACTTCCAACTCTGTCTATGCCTACTCCTCGGGATCAAGGGGTTATCCATCCTCGGGATGGTACTAAGCAAGAGAGGAGAGTGAAGAGTCATCATGATCCAACAACTAGGGTTACTATTGCTCAGGTCACACCTCCTCAGGACACCCCTCCTTAACCCCAAGGCCAATTCCAGGATGTTCTTCCATCCCAACTAATTTCTGTTCCCCAAGCGGGTTGGGAATGACGTGCCCATGCTACTATGAGCAAAGGGAAAGCGGTGATGACCTCTGACTCTATCATCGGCTCCTTGGATGACTCTTATTCTATCAACAATGCCTTTCTCTTTGACGCCAACATGGAGTAGTACTGAGAACACTCTAACAATGGCCTAATACAGAGCGTGATCCAAAACTATTGCTCGTGAGTGTTTTAGTCCATATCTGATTTTTCCATTCCCTTCTTAATTCATCACTTTGTTTCAGTTGGCACAACAAATGTCCATTATCACCAATTGCCTTTGGCCCTATTGCTTAGCAGGCGATAAGGCCGCTAAGGAGTTTGAGCAACTAAAAGAGGAAGTCAGCTCTCAAGACAAGACCCTCGCTGCCCAAGCCCAGCAAATCACCCAAATCCTCTAGGAGAGCATGGAGCTTTCAAGTGAGGTGGACAAGAACAAGGCATTAGTCGACGATGCCAGGAAGAGGATGTTTGAAACAGAACTTAAGGTATTTGTTGTTGAAGCTAAACTCATCAAGGCCAAGCAAGTGGAGAAGTTGGGAGCCGAGGCCGAGACGAGATCAAAGACGGAGGAAAAAATCATCCAGGAGTGTGAAGACTATGTGATGGTTGCCTTCGAGGATCTTAAGTTGAAGACCTTCAAAGAAGGATGGGATGCCACTCTCAATGCCGTAGGGGTTACAATGGATTCTCCTCTGTATCAACAACATACACGCACTCCTTCCCCCGGAGGTGGCTAAGGCAAACGAGCCTTCAAAAATTCTATTTGTTCTTCCCCAAGTCAATCCTCCTACTCCAGTGACTTCGTCTGCACCCGCAGCTCCCTCTACCCCCCAAAATTGAAAATCTTTCAATTGACATCAACAATCTTCTCGGGGACAACACAATGGCTTGACAGCGTCTCTCCTAGTCCCGGCCATGGCAGAACTTTGTTTTTCTTTTTCCTTCTTTTTTATTTCTTTTGTTCAGGGTCTTTAGTCCCTTTCTTTTGTTTTGACTAAGGGAAGCAAAACCTTCCTAATGGAATGTACTTTTCCAACCATCTTTTCCTTTTTGCATTCATATTCTTTCGTCGGGGTTTACCTCCTCTTTGTGGATGACCTTTGTTGATTCATCGATCATTCGGGATTTGCTTCATAATCATTGTTAGGAAAGGCTTTCAAAAAGGAGACTTATATTTCAAAAGTAATATTTTTTGAGATTAGTTACATACCAAGGTCTAGATACAATGCTTCCATCTAAGTGTTCCAACGTGTAGGATCCAGATCCATTGACCATTGTAACCCAATAGGGACCTTCCCAATTGGGCCCAAGCTTCCCGTCAGTCGGCTCTTGAGTGATCCTGACGACTTTCCTATGCACTAGGTCACGCACCTTGAAGTCTCGGGGGTGGACCCTTTTGTTGTGGTGTTGGGCGATCTCTTCCTAATATTTTGCAAGTCATATAGTCCCCATTTCTCTTTTTTCCTTAGCTACAACAAGATCCCTACTTACCTTTTGATCGTTCATTCCCGTGTCGAAGGCTTGGGTCCTTGTGGTCAATAGGCCGACCTCGAATGATATTACCGCTTTCATCCCATAGGCCAAGGCGTAAGAGGTCTTTCATGTGGAAGTTTAAGGAGTTGTTCGATACACTTATAAGATGTTCAACAACTCCTTGGTCCATTTTCCCTTTGCCTTTGCTAGCCTTTTCTTGAGTCTTGTTATCGTCTCATTAAAAATCCTAGCTTGCCCATTGCACTATGGGTAAACAGGTGTGGATTAATAGTTTCAAATGCCCAAGCCTTCATACAGCACTTTGAAGGGTCCGCTATTGAATTGGGAGTGGTTAGAGATTATAGCTCGAGGCACGCTAAACCTCCTTACTATATTTCTCCATATGAACTTCTTGGTATCGATGTCCTGAATGTGGGTGAGGATTTCGGCTTCCACCTATTTTGTGAAGTAATCCATGCCTACAAGGAGGAACTTTTGTTGGTCGACTCTTTGGGCTAGGTACTGACTATTTTTAGGCTCCACTAGGCGAATGGCCAAGGACTTGTCAATGGGTTTCGGTCCCTGATGGGTTACTTGATGATTGGTGCATGTCTGTGGCACTTCTCGTACTTTTGAACATACTCCCACGCATATTTTTGCATGTGTGGCCACCAATATCCTTGCAATATAGCCTGATGGGCCATTGACCTACCGTCCGTGTGCCCCTCACATATGCCTTCGTGAATTTCATATAGTAAAGGCTAATTCCTATCTTCGGGCACGTAGAGCATATAAGGTCTTGAGAATGACCTTCAATAGAGTTTCTAATCAAGAGATACTCAAAACCTTGGCACCTTTAGACTGGCCTTACGGGCCTCCTATTTGCAAATTAGAAGCTCTTTGGTTGTTAGATATTAAAGGATAAGATCCATCCAGTTGGGAGCAATTTCTTTTGTGCCAATCGAAAGGCTCTTAGCCTCACCCAATATGCTCGAGGTCAAGAGTCGCCATGGGAGTATTTGTCTTGGGGGATCTGGGTGACTTTAAATTTTTGAAATCTTTGAATGGTGAATAAGATTTTTCTCATGGTATGCCTTCATCCTAAGATCCCATGTTTCGAATTCTCCATTCAACTGATTTACCACAAGTTGTGAGTCATCACAAAATACAAAGAGATGGTTTTTTTCCCGTCACATGGGCTAACTTGAGCCCCGAGATAAGGGCCTCGTATTCTTCGTCGTTGTTTGAGGTTCCAAAGCTGAGGCATATTGCTTGCTCCATGACATCCCTGTATAGAGAGATCAAAACCATGCTGACCTTGATACCCTTTGATTTGAGGATCCGTCAACATACAACTTCCAGGAGTTAGGGGTCATACGTCGTGAAAAGGAAGGTTCTTGCCCTCAAACGTGGGTGTATTTTTCACAAAGTTTGTCTTTTCTTGGTCCGAGGGATGTAGGGGAATTTAACGGTACCCCGAACAGGCATCCATGAACGTCATGCGCTCATGTCTGGCAGTCGCATTAACTAACTGATCCACCTTCGGAAGTGGATAGTATCCTTAGGGCATGTTTTGTTCAAATTAGTGAAGTCGACATAGACACGCCACTTCCCCTTTTTCTTTTTCGCACATACCGTATTTGTAACCATTCCGGGAACTATACTTCCTTGATCGTTTTGGCCTATAAGAGTTGTTCTACCTCTTTGTTCACAGCATTGACATGATGAGGTGCCGATTGATGTGGTTTCTATTTTACTAGTTTAAAGCTTGGATCTATGTGCAACCAATGGCTTATAACATCGGGGCATATTCCTTTCATCTCCAAGGGGAGCCATGTGGACACGTCTATGTTTTGCCATTGGAAAGTTATCATCACCTCCTACTCCACTGGAGGCATCAAGGAACCAACCAAAAAATTTGGATCCAGCTATATTGTCCGCAAATCCACAATTGAGCGGTCGGTTGGCTCTATCCTAGGTTCGTCAATGCCTTGCCGCCTGAACTTTGATTTCCATTTGTCTACGAGAGTCTTAGATTTGGGCTCCTTCTCCTTAGAGGTGACTCCTACCTTTACAACGACATAGAAATAGCTTTTAGATGAAGCTTGATCTCCTCAAATCTCCATGATCCATTCTAGAGTGGGGAATTTTAGCTTTTGATGATAAGAAGAATGCATAACTATGAGTGCATGTAGTCATGTCCTCCTTATAATCACATTGTATGGGGAATCAAAGTCGATGATGACAAACTCCGTCGGCAAGATGATAGGTCCTGTCTTTATTAGCGAGGTGATTTTCTCGAGCGGAGAGTGTATGATCCATTGAAGCTGATGAGAGAAGTCTTCACCAGGGTGGGTAATTGGGGCTGAGCCTCATTTTATACAACATGTTCTAATACATGACCTCAGAAACTCCCAAAATCAATAAATTTGTGCCTTACATTAAAATTTGATACCCACAAAGTAATGATTAGTGTGTCATCGTGTGGAAACACAACCCCAACGAAGTCGGCATCCAAGAAAGGGATGCCTACCCCTTTTCCTCGAGCCTTCTTGGTCGACTGCACTTCCGCTTTGTTCTTCTCCACTTTTTGCTCCATCGCCAACCTTTTTAAATCTGCTCGGAGTGTATTGGTGGTCGGTTATTCTATGGGATAGGCATGGATTATTTATATTATTGTCATACCATTTCCTTTTATCCTAGTCACTCAGTCCCCCTTATTGGATGTGTCTAGGTCGATGAACTCACCGAGGTGCCCCTCATTTACAAGCCTTTCTAGAAAGGATTTCTATACTCGGCAATCCTCTGTTAGGAACCTATTTTCTCTATGGTAAGAGCATTAGGCATTTCGATTCCTCGTTGAGGGGTCACCTTTCATTTTGGGGGGCCACTCAAATAAGGGCTCTCTCTTGACCTTATGCAGTAATTTGTAGATTGGTTCTTTAAAAATTGTATGGAACCCTCAGAATGGTATCGGGCTTGGGGTTGACACAGTTCCACCTTTTTCACTATGCTCTCTTTCTCTCTCTCTCTCACTCTACGAGGCTCTTTCTTCTCCAAGGCTAGAGTCTTCCCTCTAGGTATCCTCAAATCATCTTCAACCTTGGTATACTTGTCAATTCGAGTCATCAACTCTCTCATGGTGGACGAGGTCCTCTTCGTCAGGGATCGATACAGATCAGTATCTCGGGACAGTCTGAACCTGAAAGAGGTAACGGTCATTACCTCGTAACAGCCCTCTATTTCATTTACCTTATTCCAGAAACGAGAGGCATATTACTTCAGGCTTTTGTTGTCTCTCCGTCAGAGAGTGAGTAACGATTTGACATCCTTTGGGCATTTACTACTTTTGATGAACTGGGCGGTTAACTATTTCCATGACCTTATACTTTTCAGGTGCAGACTCTCATACCATTTCATGGCTATACCTTTGAGGCTCATTGAGAACACCCTACACAATAGCTTTGGATTGGTGTCGTAGAACGACGTAAGCTATTTGTATTTTCCGAGATGAGCCTCTAGGTCGGATCGGCCATTGTACACTTCGAAATGGGGCACAACAAATTTGTGAGGCATCTCCATCTCCCTTATACTACAAATGAAAGGAGAATGGATGGGTTCATCATCAGTGTCATTCCTCTGTTGTTAGGCAGCCGTCTCAAGCCTCTTTGAGTTTAAGTGGGATCTTAAGTCATCGCACCCCTTCCAGCGTCTAGGGAACACATCGTTACGTCTTCTTCTGACATTTTTCAATGATAAGGTAGAACCCTCTTGGGATCTATCCCTTTCCTCCCTCCGTGAGAGACGTCGATGGAGGTCATCATCTACTAGATGTCTAGTCTTCTTTCTTAGGGCACCAGTTTCCCTAGCCCATGGGCGAATGGGTTCTAGGTCTTTGGAATTTCCTGCCTTTTGAGTAAGGCAATTCCAGAGATCATTCTATTCCAATCTATCTTAGCAGGACCTAGTCCTAGAGCGACTGAGGGTCCATGAACCCCCGAAACGTCCAAACTTGTGGAACATGTTCAAGACATTGACATTGTCTTCTACGATCTATTTAAATCGACCTTTTAGTCATTCCTCTATGAGATCTAACATCTCATGAGCGAGAGGTCCACACTTGGTACAATGTGCTGGGATTCTTGCCTGGAGTGGCTAGCATGCTTCTGGTTATTGAATCGGTCCTGGTTCAAGTTGTCAATGTGGTGCACTGACTTGGACACCGATACGCCTGGTAAGGAATTGGTCATTTTCTGGTGATATGGGTTTTCGTCCATATAGTATCTTGATTAAGTGTTAACCATCATGCTGGCTACAGGGAAGTTCTTAATTTTCTCACAGATGACACCAAATTGGGGGTGATTTTTTGTACAATAGTGAGATAGCAGTAGCTTAGGGATAACGAAAGCATGAGGATCACAAAGAAGGGTTAGGAGGAAGGCTAGAGTTGTCTCTGACAATTCTCCTCCAATGCTTAAGTTAATTTCTAATGAGGGAAGAAGATAGGATGCCAAGTACTGGGTTATGAGAGCATAACTTCTGTTTTTGCTTAAGAGTGCTATTTATACTTTCTTGGTGGACGAGTGCGCCTGAGATAATGTGGATGTTTCATTGACCTCATTAAGCAGCTAGGCATAGAGTAAAACATCCTTTTGAGCTCGATACTTTACCCTTTGCATGCATATCAATCCAACGTGCATTAATGGCATTAACCCCTCAGTATCCGGATCCTCATCGATCATTAACACTCGTGCAGAGCATTCTCTGCAAGATTTGACGTTAAGCATCATACTCTACAGAAGTAAACATTCTGTAATGACCCCGATCCATATTGTAATAATATTGTCCGCTTTAGACCTTGGCCTGCACAACTTTGTTCCTCTAGCCTTTTAACATCACCTAGAAAAGGTCTTGTTACAATTAAGGATATTGAGTTTACATATAAAGCATTTCACCTTAACGGGACTAGGTGATGTGGGATTGCACTATGCCCTTGTAACACCAAATCCCATGGTTTCCATAATCCATCCCACTTCAAGGTGACACGTCCTTGTTCTGGCCTAAGCCCAAACACTTAACAGACCATCTACAGCCAATCCACACAGTTTTGGTTGGTCTCGACTTTGATACCATTCTGTCATGACCCCCAATCCATATTGTAACAATATTGTCAGTTTTAGGCCTTGGCCTGCACGGCTTTGTTTCTCTGGAATTTTGACATCACGCAAAAAAAGTCTTGTTACAATTAAGGATATTTGGTTTACATATAAAGCATTTCACCTTGACTTGACCAGGCAATATGGGATTGCACTAAGGCCTTGTAACACCAAATCCAATGGTTTCCACACGTTTGGCATCAAATTGTGTGTCGAGGGATCAATAGTCTCTTTGTCCTTGCCCTCGTGCATTAAATGCCTCTAAGTCCTTTGTCATATGCTCATGAGGAACATTAATTGCATCCTTAAGGACCTTTATCATGATTGGTCGCAGTGTACTATCCCACTAGATCTGACAATATAGGATGAAGGATGCATACCATCTAACAATCAAATATAGTTCCTCGTAAAGCATTCCTTCATTTATTTCAAGGTGGGCGTTCCCAATGCAAAGCTAATAGTCTTCCAATGCGCTGACTAATATAGTCAATGTGTAAAGACAATCATTTCTTAGGCCCCTCTGCTTGTTCTCTATCGATATTTTGTCCCTCTCGGTCTCAACAATCTTTAGTTTGAACTGAGAAGATCCCTCGTTGACATTCATGGTAACACTATGGAGATCCTAATGCAATTCTTGAGACAATCTTGAGGTTAGAATTGCTCGCCATGAAATTCCCAAAGGCCCTTCATTGGCATTCATGGTAACACCGAGGAAATCCTAATAATCATCTTCCGCAACAATGCTCCGAGGCCGAGCATGTCATATCACAAGAATCATTGCTTTTGAAATTATTGACAAAATGTGTCACATGTCTACTATTGATTGGTCTGACAGACCATGTCTCGTTAGAGTAGTCTATTAAATCTTATTCAAATTGACCTAATTAATTCATAATTGCAACAAGGTTCCAATGTGATTAGTATAATTGACAATTACTTTTATTTTATTCAAGGAATTTTAGGTAAAATCATAATCAAATGAATTTCAAAAGATTAATTTTTCAAGCATCACTAAAAAATCAATTTCAGTCACAAAATTTTTAAAAAATAGAACTTTAACGATTTCTTTTTGTCATCTTTTTTTTTTTTTATAATTAGAGCAAATAATTTTGGGAACATACAAAGTTTTCATAATCGTATGATAGAATATGAGTAATGAAAAATTAAGTATGTTAAATTTGAGATGATATTTAATTCAAATATGCATATACCTAATATATTTTATTAATTTTTGTGTATAAAAACTATTCATATGCAACGTACATGGTGTATTGTTAATAAATCATAAAAGCCACAAAACTACTCGGATTCAATTTGAGATTGACTCAGTGCATGCTCGAAGAGATCAACTTGTGTAGTACTTGAATTAACATAGAACAACAATTGAATCAAGATTTTACTATGAGAGGGACCAAATAGAAATAGTGACATAGTAAAAGATGTTTATTCAATAGGATTATTAAACAAGTTATTTTTCATTGTCCAAAATTTAGGTTTATTGACCCTATAAAATCGGCTTTTATATGATAACATTAAAAAAATTAGTGAGTCATTAAATCTAAAACAAAAATTTAAATTTGCTTAAAATCATAAAAATTAATTTATGACAATTTCACGCTTCATTTATACCCTCATTCATTTCATGATATAATGACTATCAATAAATTAATTTGGTAAATGTTAATTTTACACTAATATCGTAGAAAGTTAATTATGGCTCTATGATGATATAATATATGTCACATATGTAACTCAAAGCAACTTTGCTTTTTCTTTTTCTTTTTTTTTTTTTTTTTTTTTTTTTCTTGTGGTCGTGAGATTCATCATACACGTATCTTGGTCTATAAAACAAATACTATATAAAAATTGTTGAAATTTATGATATAATGACTATCAATAAATTCATTTTGTAAATGTTAATTTTACGACAATATCGCAGAAAGTTAATTATGACTCAATGATGATATAATATATGTCACGTATGTAACCCAATGCAACTTTCCTTCTTTTTTTGGTCTTGCGGTCGTGAGATTCATCATACACATATCTTGGTCTATAAAATAAATACTATATAAAAATTGTTGAAATTCTATCGGAGGACATAAAATTCTTGAAAACCTAGGGGAGATATAGTGTAGTTCCAAAAAGCTTGGACTCAATGTGGTACCATCAATGACTTTGAACACATTTTTAAATCCGTCAATTTTCTAAACTCAACTTGAACTGAGTTTTATAAAAACATTTAAGTTAGTAAAACTTGATTCGAAAAAGGATCAAAAGTCATAAGGACTAATATGTGGAATTATTAATAAGGAAGACTAGTATTGTATCAAAATTTATAATTTTTTAAAATCAAAGTACAATTTTTTAAGACATAAGTTACAACTATAAAAAACATGTTCGTTCCTAAAATGTTAAAATTGATTGTGAAAGTTATAAACTTTAAAGGTAAAGTTTTAATTTTTAGAAGGATTATTTGCACCGGTGGTCTCCAAACTTTTCATGTTGTCTCATTTTGGTTCCCAACATTTTAATTACATCAAATTGGTTTCCAAAGTATTCATTTTGATTTATTTTGGTCCCAACCATAGACGTCGTTTGCTTTTTTCCATCTCCGTCTCCATGTGCCATTCACATGAGGGGCAAATTGGACATTGCACCTTACTTCACTTGCTTAGCCATTCAAAGGCTGTGATGAATTGACTCTTCACTTCCATTTCAACGACAACGACGGTGAGAACTCCTTCCTAGGGCAAAATGGTCAGTGTTGATCAGGGCAAAATACAAGAGTGATTAGGTTCGTCTTCATCTTCATCTTCGTTGATTGTGAATCATAGTGTAAAGATGGTTCGTTTCATAGGAACAAGAAAGGGAATTAGAGTGGATCATACAATGTTCCCTATTACGATATGTACTAATTTTTATAGTTTTGGGATTCAGTTTCATGGGTTCAACTGAATATAGAAGGTTTTGATGTTGTCAAACAGATTTGTTTATGCAAAACAGATTTTTTTTTTTGGCAATATTTAATAGATTATGTGGTTGCTGGAAACCACTTGTTTATGCAATATGAATTTTATTTATTATATTTTATAATTTATGTGTTCATTGAATTTTATAATATTAATTTTATATTTACTTATTTTTGGAAACTATTAGGCCATGATTCTTCACTTTTCTTAATGGAGGTTCACCACAGTGGTAAATTTACAGAGAATTCAAACAAAGCTTATGTTGGGGGCAAAATAAACTACATAGATAACTGTGATTGTGAACTGATGTTGCTCATAAAAATGGATGATATAGCTAATAGTTTTATACATACCCCATATATTGGATTTTACTACAAACTTCCTGGTTTGGATTTGGACTAAAGGCTAGTACATATGAGTAATGATGAATATGTATTGGATATGTCACATCATTTGCATGAAAACAGGGTAGCTTGGGTATATTTTAAACATATAGGAGGTATTAAATTAGTGGACAGTCAGACTGGATCATCTAGAGGCAAAAGCAATCATCCTATTGATCGTGATGACCCAATTGATGACAATGGCATAGGGGATGGGGTAGCATTAGACTCAGATGAGTACCAACCTGAATCTGAATGTAGTGAATATGAAGATTTGGTTGATAGTGATTATGAAAGTGAGTATGATGACATGTTTTATGAGAATTGTGTTGATCATGAAGCTAAATGGAATTGTTTGAAAAGTAACAGGCAAAAAACAATGGCAACAGACATAAGGCATGGCTTAGACCTGAGTGATTCATATGATGAGTCTGAGGGCATTGTAAGTTGTTGTAGTTCATCTGATTGAGAGACTAATGCTAGAAAAAAACTAAATTTTGAAGTATTTAGGGAAAACAAAGATCAGGAAAACCCATAATTTAAGCTAGGTATGTTATTCAATACATTTGAGGAGATCAAGGCTACTATTAGACAACATGAAATTAAAAATCAGAGAAATGTTAAGTTTGTAAAAAATTATAAGATGAGGGAAAGGGCACAACGTCAAGAGGGTTGTAGTTGGCTTGTTTATGCTTATAGAGTGTATGGTGAGAAAACATATCAAATAAAGACATACATTAGCAAGCACACATGTGGGAAGACTTACACTAATAGAAATGTGAACTCAAAGATGACCACATCGAAGTTTCTGAAGGAGTTGAGAATCAACCCCTGTTGGCCTATAAAGGCTTTTAAAAAGAGGGTTAGGCAAGATTTACATGTAGATGTAACAAGGAATCAATTATATAGAGCAAAGAAAAGGGCAATGATATTGATACGTGGGAATGACATTGAATAGTATGGTAGACTATGGGATTATTCTGAGGAACTAATGAGGGCTAGTCCTGGTTCCACAGTTGTTTTGGATGCTCTTGTAGATGAGGAAACATGTAAACTTTGATTTCAAAGGTTATATATTTGTCTTGCAGCATGTAAGAGGGGATTTTTGTAAGGGTGCAAGAAAGTAGTTGGACTAGATGATTGCCACTTGAAAGGAGCATACAATGGACAATTATTGACAGCAGTTGGTATTGATGCCAATAATTCTATATTTCCTATTGCATACTGTGTTGTTGAGATTGAGATGAAGGAATCATGGGCATGGTTCTTAGCAATACTATCCACTGACTTAGGCATCAATCACCAGAACCAACACCAATGGACCTTCATCACTGACAAGCAGAAGGTATGTGCATGTTAATAAAATGTTGAAATCTATTAATATATTATTTGTGTTTATGTACTGATTTTTTTTTCCTGATATTGAACAGGGTTTGCTTCCAGCAATGACTGAGAACCTACCTAAATCAGAACATAGGCATTGTAATAGGCATCTGCTAAACAATTTCATGAGACAGTTTAAGGGCTTGTGTATTAGGAAAAAATTCTAGAAATGTGCTAGGGCAACACACATTCCAAAATTTGACTTTGACATGCAACTAGTTAAAGAAGAAGATGAAAAGGCTTTTGAGTGGTTGGCCAATAAGCCACCAAGGTATTGGAGTAGGTCACATTTTAGAGTAGAACCCAAGTGTGACATTTTGTTAAACAATCTATATGAGACCTTTAATGGGGCAATTGTAGAAGCAAGGGATAAGCCCATCTTGGAAATGCTATAATGGATCATATGCTTCTTAATCCAAGGAATGGTAAGGAGGAGGGAATGGTCTAGGAGTTATGGTGGAAATATATGCCCTAAAATTCAAAAGCGGTTGGAGAAATGGAAACGTGATAATTTTGCTTGTATTGTTGATTGGCATGGTGAGTTAAAATTTGAGGTGAGGTGTATGAATGGAGATCAATATTGTGTTGATGTGAATGAGAAGACATGCTCATGCAAGAAATAGGACTTGACAGGAATCTCATACCCATGTGTCATTGCTTCTATTCAAAATAGGGGTTAACAACCAGAAGACTATGTTACTGGACACTACAAGAAAAGGGCATTTATGCAGGAATATGAACCAATTATCAACCCAATTAATGGACACAAGATGTGGCCTAAAAGTAGACTTACCCCAATATTGCCTCCATTGAATAGAACACAACCTGGTAGGCCAAAAAAACTACGGAGGAAGGAACCAGATGAAGTAAGTAATAAACAATAGTCACATAAGTTGAGGAAAACTGGGCTTGTATCACTTAAGTGTAGGAGATGTGGTAAAAATGGTCATAATAAGAGGACATGCACTATTGTATTGACAGAAGGAGAAGGACTACAAGCTAGAGGGAATCAAGCAGCTGCAAGGTGCCAATCAGTAGCAATAAAAGCAGTATTAGGAGGGAGTCAAGCAGCTGCAAGGAGCCAATCAGTAGCAACAAGCCAAGTAGTATCAGGAGGGAGTCAAGCAACTATAGGGAGCCAGTCAGCTGAAGGAAGGTCTTGCTGTGAACAGCTACAAGCTTCAACCACTGTAGCAGAAATTCTGGAAATGCAACTAAAGCCTTCATCATTCAGACTCAAAGGAAAAAATTGCCTTTTAGGAGGAGTAAATCAGCAAGCAATCATGTTGTATGATGTGCAACTTTTGGTTTTTTAGGTACAATGGATATGTGTAACTCTCTTTTGGGTTTGTAATGAGAGTTAATAGTCATGTTGTATGATGTGCAACTTTTGTTTTTTGGTACAATGGTACAATGAATATGTGTAACTCTCTTTTGGGCTTGTAATGAGAGTTAATAGCCATGTTGATATAATTTGTAATAATGGGCTTGTACTGAGTTAGTAATATAAGTGTAAGAAGTAGCTATGTTGTTCTGTTTTTTGGGTTTGTATTGAGTTTCAATAGTTTGTACTTAGCCTATTGTGTTACTAATATAAGTGTAACAAGTAGCTTCACAAAGAGAAAGTTAGCTTCACATGTCTATTGAATGTTGAAATCTATACTCAGAGTTACATGGAATATCAACATTTCACATTCCACCAATTAAGTATTCCACAAAAGAGAAGTCATATTTATACATAATTAAGCTCTATTACATAGAGAACATCAACCTAGTACACATGTTTCCAGCTCTATTACACATGTTTCTAGCTTCACAAAGTCCAGTTGCATGAAATACAACACCCAAGTGATAATGAAATTGTCCATAAAGAAAATAGAACAATCTATAAGATTTTCTCCCTTTTCTTTGATAGTCGTTGTTGGTCATCGTGTCTTCAGAGAGATTGCAAAAGTCTAGATATCACATGCTTCGATCTATAGCACATTGGAGGATCATACCAAACAAAAAATCCACAACCCCCAGCTTCCTAACAATGCAATACTTCGTTAAAAAAATCCAAATGTTCATACAAAACTAACAAATGAACTAAAAATAAGGATTACCCCATATCTCTCACACCCAATAAACCTTCTTATTGGGTTTGTAGCAGTCCAAGAAGTCCGCATTTTGCCCATTCTCCTACAGTAGCATGGTGTTGCCTCCATTACATGAATTTCATCCCTCACGTTTTCTTTTTTTCCTCCCTTCTCTTCTTCTTTCTGGTTTGAGATGTTCTATTTGTTTCCTTTGGCTGTTGGATAGGCTATAAGGTAGGCATGGAGACGTGGGTATGGAGGAGATGGCAGGAATGTTTCCCTCCCTGACTAGGCATGTGCAATGTTCAATTTTATCCTCACATGAATGGCAAATGGAGACGGAGACGGCAAAAAGCAAACGGCGTCTATTGTTGGGATCAAAATAATTTAAAGTGAATACTTTGAGAACCAATTTGATGCAATTGAAATTTTAGTGATCAAAATGAGACAACATGAATAATTTGGGAATACCAGTGCAAATAATCTTCTTTGAAAATCTATCTATATTATTTAACAGTGAAATTATAACCGATTAATATTTATTTATTATCCGTCATAATATTTTATGATCGATCATAAATAAATTATAATAATTATATATTCATATTTAAAAAAGGTAATTTAACCTAAAGAAATAATAATACGCTACCAAATTTTTGTTTAGTCGTGTAGAATTGCCACACACGTGGGAACAGTTAAACAGTACGATGTCGTCCCAGGTAATCCAACACTAGACCCAATTAAGCTGCGACTAAAAAGTAAAAATCATAGTTTACTCTTCCAAATTACCCCCCAGAAGAAGACAAAATTTCAATTCACACCCACAAAACCCTAGTAGCCGTTCAAACAAAAACCCTAATTTTTTTATAATTTCCTTTTTGTTTTTTGCCCTTTTCTTTGTTTAGACGTTTGCACGCCCAAATCCCTCTCTCTCTCTCTCTCTCTCTCTCTCTCTCGTGGTGGGTTTACTCTTTTATCTACATAGACCCTTTGTTTCTGTCTATTAAACTATTTTCTCTCTCTATTTCTGTATTTTATTTTCTAGTTTTTTAGTGGGTGCAATGGAGGTGGAGTTTCTGAGCTCTGATATGGCTGCCATGGAGAGAATGATGGTTTGCTCTGTTGTGGAAGCTGTGGTCATTGAGACCCTTCTGATTGCTGGGAGATCTCTTGCTTGCCTTCTCAAGATGGTATTAGCTTTTACTAAGCTAATTTTGTCACAAGTTTTGATTTTTTATGATGTGGGTCTTGGATTTCATGCTCTATTTTTGCTTTTAAGGCTTTTTTCAACAACTGGGTCTCTGCTGTTGTACTGAATCTGTGTAACTAAGATTTTGATTCCTTGCTGTTCTACTGAATTTGTGAAGCTAGGATTTTGGTTTTTGCCCTTGTCGCTGTTTCTCTTTGCGTTTTTTTTACTGTTGCTCAGTTATTGTTGTCTTATATGTTGGGTGTTACTGAAAAGCTAGGGATATGCTATCATCAGTGTTGCTATTCTTTTTCAGTTATAAGCAATTCCTTTATGTCCAGCTGCTTTTAAAGTTTAAAGGCGTGGATTTCAGGATTTCCCAACCTGGTCTTTCTTCCATTGGTTGTATGTGGTACTTTTGAGATTTGTTTAAGTTGTCTGTGTTTTGGGGCTTTTAGGGATTTGGAGCACTTGCGGTATTAAATGGTGGTTGGTTCTGTTCTGACAAATAAAAGGAATGTATTTATTTTTTTATAACGGAATCAAGATAACAAACTAAGTTACGATTTTTACCGGCAGTTACATGAGCTTGTTGGTTTTTTTGTGATATGCTTGTGTGACTACGTTTTCAGATTCCTTCAAAGATTACTATTTCCTAACATGGTCTTCTTAAATTGGTTGTATGTGGTATCTTAGAGGATTTTTCTTTTAGTTGTCCGTGTTTCGGAACTCTTAGGGTATTGCAGCACTCGCGTTAAATGGCCGTTGGTTCTATTCTTGCCAATAAAGGAAATGTATTTATTTTTTTATGATGTGATGAAAATAACAAATAAACTTACTATGCACAATTACCGGTACAGATTCTTTCATAGATTTGGTTTTCAAACCTTGTCTTTCTTAAATTGGTTATATTGGTACTTTAGAGGCTGTTTCAATTATCTGTTTTGTGGAACTTTTAGAGCATTGAAGCACTTGCAGCATTAAATGGCCGTTGGTTCTGTTCTTGCCAATAGAAGAAATATATTTATTTTTTTTGATGGGATGCAAATAGTGAGCAAACTTACTATTGTTATAGGCACTTACACGAACTTATTTTTTTTAAAAATATATGTACAAATACACCTGCAGATCCCTTCTGGGGCTATTAATGGGGCCCTACAGTGATTTGATTTTAGCTGTTTACTTAGAATATCCTGTATTCTACTCTTCCTGGTTGTTAATATAGAGTACTCTTTATATGACTTTTGTGCTTGCCATAGCGGAATTTATCTAAGTACTAATCATTTAGGTGGTATTCTACATTCTTTTTTTTTTTCTTTTTTCTTTTTTATTTTAACTATGCAACAATGTATTTGCCATACTGCTTTAAGAAGCAGCAATGAAGAGCCTAATAGGTTAGAAGGTACAAAAACTGCAGCAGTTATTGTGTAGATCGAGGGGTGGGTAATTAATTCCTGGTGCTGCTTATGTTGCAAATTCGAAGGTTAATTCCAATATCACTTCCAGTTACAGCAGCAGATATTTTGTTTTGTTTTTACAATTTATGTTGTCAGCAACTGAGCGTGTCCATAATGTCAGGGGTTGGGGATAAAAGAATTTGGGTTCTTGACTTTTCTAGGGTTTTTCTTGCAAATCTTGCTTTCGTGCTTTGATTAATGACCAATCAATTCCTACATTTGAACCTCATGAGATGATTTGGAATGCCAAAGTGCTGATGAAAATTCAGGTTTTGGCTTGGACTGTAGCTCATGGAAAGTTCCACACTTCTGATTTGTTGCATAGGAGAAGACCAAACTCTTGGCTTGCGCCACAATGGTGCATCATGTTCAAGTGTTCTAGTGAAAGTGCGGTTATGGCAATTTTTTGGGCAATATGGTTGGAAAGGAATAGGAGAATCTTCAAAGATAAGGGGGAATTTGTGGAGTTCCTTCGGGAGAGAGCTAAGTTCTTGGCTTCCTTATGGGTATCGACCGCCAAAGAATTCAAGGATGTGTCATTTTTCTCTCTTTCAATTGGTTGGAAGGCAGTGTGTAGTTAGATGAGTACATCGTTTGATTTATAGAGCTGCATATTGTTGCTGGCTCATTATGTTCTTAACTGCTTTATTGTAGGGTGGACTTCTTGTTCACCTTTATGTTCTATATTTCACTATTAACAAAAGATATGTTTCTTATCAAAAACAAAAGAAAAGAAAAAGTAACTGAGCGTGTCCATAATCACCTTCGTTGGCCTTTTCTTTATCATTTCTTAATAACTGCTCTGTGTGACCGGGCCTGATTTACTCAAAATTCTCATTGTTGCATACTTTATTTAAATTTTCGCCTGTTGAAATAATTGAACATATTTGGTAATGTTATATACGAGGTTGGAATTGTTGGATGAGCCTATGTGTTTTCGAATGGTCTTTTGATTTAGGCTCTGTAGAGTTGATTCGTTGTTGCATAGTCATTACTTCCTTTTCTCTTCCAATCTTGCAACCATATGGTTCTTTATAGTAGTGTCATGGACTCACAATACTTACATTTAGTAGATATATTGGAGTTGAAATGGTTTTGCTAGATTCATTTATCATTTAAGCTCTCTTACCAACATTAGCAAAATTTTCAGGCAGGATCTCTGCTGAAGGATATTGATGTGTTGCCTAAATTTACTGGGGTTGACGGAAGGTACTATTTTGTTTTTCTGGTGTTATTCAAATCAAAAATGTAATTCCATTAAGCAAGTGTATGTAAACTTTATTTCGCAGGTTTCCTTTGGATGAGCTTCATAAAAAGAAGCAGCCTGATCCCGAAAACAAAGATGCTAGTGATACCGATGATGACGATGAGGGTGATGACGATGATGATCAGGATGATGATGATGATGATGATGCAGATGATGAGGATTTCTCTGGAGGAGAAGGGGGAGAAGATGATGATGAAGGAGGGGATCCTGAGGAAGATCCTGAGGCTAACGGTAATGAGGGTAGCAATGACGAGGATGATGATGATGATGATGGCGATGACGACGAAGATGGTGACGAGGATGAGGAAGAGGAGGAAGAGGATGAGGACGAGGAGGAACAACCACCTGCTAAGAAGAGAAAGTAAAGTGGTAGTAGTCTTTTCTTTAGTCTGTCTTTGTTGGTAGCATGTGATAGGAAGGGGAATGCTTAGCTTGTGTGTTTTAGTAGAGTAGGACTTAGCCATCCTTGTTCAGAATGAACTTCCTGCTTTTTATCATGTGACATTATTATATTATATATATTTCATTTTGTGGAATGGATCGTTATTCTGGAAAATTTTTTTTTTTTTCGAGGCGTTCTAGTTTGAGAATTGACTTAGGGAAATGGCTCCTTTAATGCTCTCTTATTTGGCTGCATGGACTAATACATTCATATACATTTTTGGGGGGCATATAATGTGTTGGGTAGCCAGTTTTCAACTCTCAGAAAATATCGCTTTTCTGAACATTCATGCAGACAATGCATTTTCTTTCTGAGTCCCCAGTTCTGCCATTCCATTTATGCATCTGAATTCTGAAGAGCTGTGAACAAATCATGAGATGAAGTCATTCCATTGAACTTGTAAACATTTTTTCATTTCAAAGCTTCAATGATAACTACATGGGGGAAAATTAATTGTCGCTGGGATGTTTAATCAATGGTAAGCCATTGAAGAATCACTAATATGTAATCGGTCTCATTCCATTCAAGCGTATAGCCATTGGAGAAGTAAGACAATAAATTTTCAGCGAATGAGGGCCCACATTTAAGTAATTCGGAAAACAATTTAGCATTCACAAACAATTTAGCATTCACAAAATGGTTAATTGCACCGGAGTTCTTCAAAGTATGAAACTTGTCTCATTTTGATCTCTTATATTTTAATTACATTATTTTGGTCTGTGAAATATTGAATATGCTTCTATATGATCTCTCAAACAAACAACGTTCAGATTGTTAACAATTTTTTTATCATAAACTTGTCATATGATACTTAAATATGAAAAAAAAAATAATTTTGATAATTCTTGACCAAATTTTTACTCAAATTTTGGTTAAATAGTTACTCAAATTACAAAGTTTTGATTATGCGTTATCCAAATTTTGGTCAAAAGCTACTCATATTATACATTTTTTAGAAGAGTTACCCAAATTTTGTTTAAAAATTATAAAATTTATTTTTTATCTATATTTTAAGTATTATAAGCATGGGCGGAGGGAGGAAGGTAGGGGCCGGGGTAGGCACGTGTCCCCTCTCAAATTTTTTTTTTTTATTAGTTAGATATATGTATTATATATTTATACATATATATTATGTGTGTCCCTCATTTATATTAAGTCCACATTATTTACCCAAAATAATTAAATAATTAAGTCTATTTAAAACAAAAAAAATTTGAACTCACTACTATCTATCCAAACTTATTAAAAAAATTAAATATTTGACCTATCACAATTCACCAAAACCTATTAAAAAAACAAAACTTTTAGCCTAATATTAAAAACAAAATTTTTGGCCCAACATTAAAAACAAAATTTTTGGCCCACCATCATTAAAAAAATAAAATTTTTGACTCACTTAACTAAAATCTATCTTATCTTTCCTTTTTTTTTTTCTGTATTACTCACTTACAGCTGCTCGCTACCCAGCCACAAAAAAAAAAAAAAAAAGAGAAGAAACAGAGAAAATCTCAACACACGAGAATGTCAGTTCCTTGAGTTTTTTTGTCCTTCCTTGCACCAACCTATAAAATGATTTTATACATTATATTTACCCCTTAAATTTTTGAAAATTTTAATAATAGTTCTAGTCTTTTTTTTAATAAATTAGTGGACCACTAACCCTCCAAAATAAATATGTTAGTTTTGGATTGAGTCAATGTTTGATTTGTATATTGACAAAACTACATTATTTTTCTTTATCTAACACAATATTCGTTACTTTTTAAGAATAATTTTTAGTTTTCATTTACCATTTTTTTTAGTAATAGTAGTCTATAACCTAATAAAATACGAAAATTAATTTACATTTAATTCATATACAAAAAATTTTAGAGATTTTAAAAAATTTTATATTTTATTGAAATATATAATTATGTTAAAATGTACTAAAAAAATTATTTTGTATTTTTTTGTTAAGATTTTGTTTCGGCTAAATAAAAATTGAATTTACTATTTCACAATAATTTAGTGTTAATTCTTACATTTTTTTTTATTCTTGAACTGAATTTTTTTATATTAATTTGGGCTGAATATTTTTTTATACCAGTTATATTTTGCCTCTATCATAGATATTCATGGGTCTGCCCCGGTAATATATATATATATATATTTTTTAAATTTTTTTTTATGTTAAATGGACTTCATATATCAAAAATAATATAATAAATATAAATATGTTATATAGTGTGATTTGTTAGAAGAAAAAAAATTAAAGTGCTTAATTAAAGTGTTCACCCTGAGCAAAATTTCTGCCTCCGCCCCTAATTATATGACAAGTTTATAATAAAAAATAGTTAGTAATTTATACATTATCTATTTGAAGGATCATATAAAAACATATTTGATACCTCATGGATCAAAATAATATAATTAAAATATCATATATCAAAATGAGACATATTTCATAGTTCGAGAACCAATGATACAATTAACCGTCACAAAACAAACATATACATGCTGCAACAAAACGCCCGTGGGGTGTAGGCCCAGCAGGGGTGACCCAAAACCGACTGGCCATTAAAATGTGTCGATATCCTATATAAAACTTGTTTGTATAAAAATTCATTTTTGTCTTGCTATATTTAAGTTTTTAATTTTTCACTTATAAATAAAACAATATATTTCAAATAAATAAAAATTATTTATACATGTATATATTTTGTTCCTAGCCAACTTGCGGGCCATGACCTCTGTCACAAGACTCCCAACACCCGACAGGGAATAGATCTAGCCCATTTTTGGGCCCGAGCCAAAAAATTGGCTCATCCCATGTTTTTCCGCCCTGGCCGCCAGCCGCCAGCCGCCATCTTCATTCGCTACTAGTTACAAGTTTCCGCTAGGCATGTCAAAGTTTGACACAAATCGATACGAATTAAGTAAATTATAGTGAGACTTTAACGAGTTCGGATGATAAATGAGTTAATCTGTCAGATAAGTTTAATAAACAGATCGTATTCGAGTGAATCCTGTCAACTTGATTGTCACCCGTTTAGATAAAATTAATATAATAATAAATTATTAATTATTTTAAAAAATTAGACAGATTTTTTTTTATTTACAACCACAATTTATTTATATATATATATATATATATATATTATTTTTAGTGATAGCCACAGATTTTTTTAAAAAAAATTTAGTGGCAGTCACAAAAAATATAATAATAAATTAAAACTAAGCGGGTTAAACGAATCGTGTTGTGTTACCTGTTTATTAAACTATTCGTGTTCATGTTGAGATTTTTCACCTGTTTATTAAACAAGTCGTGTATGAATTTACATGTTTTTCACCCATCACCTGTTTAACCTGACACGTAACCATTTAATCCGACATATTTGACACCCTTACTCACTAGTCTACTAAGGCCTGGTATATATATATATATATATGAAATGTAAATATACAATATTCACATCCTATAACTTGAAACAGATGGTGTAGTAATTAACACCATCTTAACTAACACATGAAGACCAAAGTACCAGCAAATGTTTCAAGTTTATATACCACTTCTTTCTTACATTGATTTACCATAAATTAGTAAGTACCGGATAACACTTCCTCTTACACCTCTAAACCTCCTTGGCCTTTCAGACCTTTTCACAAACACTAGAGATTATCTCAAATCTGCCAGAAACCATGGTGCCAAAACTGTCAAATTTACTTCTGCTACTATCAATAATCTTATCCAACGCGATTGTGACTCTGGCCAAGCTCCCTCAGCTGCCCCACCTCCCAGTAATAGGCCCCGGGCTGCTACCGCCAGGATGGTCCGAGGACAATATCAGGGGTTGCTGGACCTCTATCATGAGGATTGATGGGTGCATAACTCAAATGCATGAGTTTCTGTGCAAAAAACAATTCAGTAGTATTGGCCTGCTTGTTGCAAGGCCATCAACAATATAAAGAACAGTTGCTGGGCTAAAATGTTTCCCTTTCACCAAAAATTTCCACGATTGATCAAGAAACACTGCCAATTTCGCAATCCCTAGAGGCATCTAAGAGCTACTGCTTTCTCTGTCAAGGAAAGGTCTTGAAATTTAACTAACGATTTTCAATTTTATATGCCTTTTTTTTTAGTTTTAACAAAATGGAGAATTGTCTCAATAAGGCGTCTTTTGAACTCATAGTCATCAAGAAAAGCACGAATATATGCAATCATCCACTAATCACATGCATTAGATTAAAAGTCGAGTTTTATGTGACATTGAGAACTTGATCTAAGAACGTGTAGAGTCTCATACCCTTTTTGATCATTAACCACCTTTTTTCTATTCGACGACTAATGCATCACATCGAGTTAATTAGCATCTTGCCACATCCATGTTTTCTTCCGAAAACTGATGCGAATAAATCGTTTGTAACATTTGTCATCCCACAATAACATGACCATACTTTTTTCTTATGTTTTTGTTGAAAAGTTGTATCTTTGATCTGCAAATTAATTTACATGTACGTTTCTTGAAACTATACATGAAATTAAACTGCCCCAAACAAACTTATTTTAAATTCGTGATTACAATATAAACTCAGGATGTGTGAAAGAAATAAAACTGGGAATGGCTCCCTGAACTTTTTCTAGTGGAGCCACTGCCACAGCCACTGACCGGCAATGTGAAAGGAGGCTCTATATATTCGAGAGTCCAATGCTGATCAACTGCAGTACGACTCGGCTCGGCAGCGACCTAAGGACCACGGACAGGCCCAAAAGACCACGTCCCATCTGGCTATGGGCCAGCCCGATCTGCCAAATAGAGGTAGATAACTAGATATAGACGTGATTTCTTCTTTTCGGCTATTCTGTTAGGCTTATCTTGACCAACGGAAAAATAAACAAAAAATTGATAGGATGTACTTTTTTTAACTATTTAATTGTGATAAAATAATTTAAATAAAGATTTTTATAAATAAGTACCCTTGACTTGAAATATATTGTAATTAGGTATTCATTAACAAATTTTTAAATATTTTCTTCACTAAAATACTCTTTTCCTTATTTCAAGACCTGTTAGTTTGACAATCTCATTTTTTATGGGATTTGATATATTATATTAATAGTTTCATATTTTAAG